AAAACGCCCTACAACTCTCTTCTTTCTCTTTCTCTCTTTATCTCCAACCTTCATCCCATCCCCATACCCATCATGCAAGTTTTTAGCGGTTTCCCTCCTCTTTCAGACTCTGTCACTGCCTTGTGTGTTTTTGTACGCTGTCTCACCTCCTGTAGCTTTCTCTTTGCCTACCACTCCCGCCTCGTCCTCCTCTGCTTTATGTTCCTCTGAATTTAGTTTCTTACATTTTCTCCAGCCCTTGTTTCTTTGAGCTGCTGTGTCTAAGCAGGATCTCTCCCCTCAGGACACAAGTGTGCTCTCAGCTGCTGCGCTAGACAAAACCCTCCTCGATCCTGCCACCTTCTCTTAATCACTCCCCACACTTCCACCACAGCACACCCACACTACAGACCCCCGTCCCTCCTCTCCTGACCCATCCTCAGCCTCCAAGAACAGGTTCTCACGCTCCACATCCTGAACCTGATCTTCTTAAAGCCTCCCCATCCCCGTAGTCCTGCCTGGGCTAATTCTGCAAGCTCAACCGCTCATGAGAGGTAATGTGTAACCTCATTCTCCAGACCTGATGGGGATCGCTTTGTGGGGGTCTTCTTCACACCCACTTCTCTGGCAATGCATCTAGGGGCTCCTTTGGGGAGTCCTCCCCCTCCCTTGCCCTCCTCTGGGTATCTCCCCTGTCCACGCCTGGCCTTTATACATGCACGTTCTTGTTGCAGTCTCCTCCATCCTTTGCGCTGCCCCCTCCCAATTCCTTGTCTAACCTACCCTGTATCATCTTCTTGAGCCTTTGAATTGTCAGTCCCCGTGACATGTTAGCTCGGTTTGGACTTCAGCTTACAGGAAGGCTCTAACAAACCAAGCAGGGGAAGAAGAGCGAGGAGGTGACCTTGTGTGGCGTGCGAGGGACACCACACTGATGGCACTTCCCTGAAGCACTCAGTACTGAGCGGCCTGAAGATCTTCCCCTGCACAAACTGGGGGAGCAGAGTCACTGTGGCCTGTTCCACCAAGCAGTGCCAGCCGTCCCCAGGGACGGTTACCCGTGGCCCCGCAGCCGAGGAGATCTCCTTTGTCCTCTCTTGGGGCACCGGATCTACGTGCCGGGGATCCATCCTTTCCCTGGAGCGCAGAGGTCCCCATGGTGCATGGAGGTGTCAGGGTCGGCCACCCTCCAGCCACCCATCCCAGAGGACAAAAGGTTTCATCCAGCTCCTCACAGTGTTGATATATTCAGTGCGTACCCCAGTCCTGCCTCTAGTTATCATGCCTGGCCCCCATCAAATACCATGTGTCTTCTTGGCCTCGTTGTATCAGAGCTGGAGTTTGACCTCCTCTTAGGGGTCCGGTGAGGAAACCCTTCCCACACCAAAACTCTGGCTCTTCTGCCAGCACGTCTGGAGCAGCAGCAGCTTCCTCAATCCCACACCAACCTCAGTCTAACCTTGCAACTAGAAATCTTCCTGTTCTTGAGAGTAAAGAGCAGAAAAGAAAAGAAGAAGGAACAGCAAAAAAAAAGGAGAAGGAATAACAAAACTGAGTAGCAAAAAGCAGAAGGAATAGCTAAAAAAGATACCAAAAAAAGCAGAAGGAATGGCAGAATGGAGTAATACCAAAATGTGCACCACAACTAAAGCAAACTACAGAACTGGTTCACAGCGTAGGAGATTGCAGGCGGTGCAACGGGTTGCCCAGTCTTGGAGGCCCTTGGACCTCCATCCTTAAAAGTCTTCCAGACCAGATGGGATAAAACCCTGAGCAACCTGGCCTGGCCTGGTTTGAGCAGGACGTTGGACTAGAGATCTCCTGAGGTCCCCTCCAACCTGAATTATCCCGTGATCCTATGATTTGACTGTTCCTAATACGCTGCCAAGTGTCTCTTGGGAGACCGGCAGGCTTTTCTGTGCATGGGGTAGGCGAGGAAGGCAGGGAAGGCTCTCAGGAGGGGCAGACGGATGAGGTGTACTTACTTCTCACACACCTTCACTGTTCATAGAGAGTGGTGCAAAAGAGGAACTGCCACCTCCACAGCACCACGGCTTTGTCCGAAATGCAAGTCTGCACGTTCTGGGTGTGAGAAGGTGCCAAGGACCTGCAACCAAAGTGCAAATTGCTGGGTTCGACAGCAGAAAAACCTTCTGGGACACATCAGGCTGGAAGAGATAGAAGCAAAAAAGAAAGAAAAGAAGACCTGGCATCGCGGCTGGAGGAAGCAGGCAAAGCTGCGATGCTCGGTACTGCGAAACCTCCAGGTGGGTCTGTAATGGGTCTGTAATTCCAGCGCCAGGTGGACAAGGGCTCTGTCATTATATTCAGCCCATCTCCAAGCCTTTGCTTTCCCTACGTGATGTAAAACAGCAAAAAGGGAGAATAAGAGCGTGGTGAATAGCAGCTTGCAGCGGCTGAGTGCAGTGACACTTAAATAAAACACACAAGTACAAAACCAAAACCGTGCAGCCCAGCAGAACCTGCCATAACAGTCTCCAAAGAGACCATCATCCACCTACCTCCCACGAGAGCAGACTCCAGTGTACTGTTGATCTTATTTGTGGTTCATTCCTAGAAAGCAATAATGAGTTTATTGACATGGTGGCATTTATTTAATTCTAAACCGTTTATTTAAAAGGTTCGAGGTGGCAAAATGTTTAATTAGTGCTCTCCAGCAGCCTTCCCCCAGCGGCTGCTCAGCTCTGCACCCTCCCAGCTCTCCCAGCACAGCGCCTGGATGCCATCTCCCCGCCTCGGCGCTGGCACGGGGCCACACTTGACCCTTTGTACCTGCATGCCTCTGGGTTGTGCTTGCTGGCTCCGTTCCCTGCTCCAGGCCAAGGCTCTGGCACTCACCCAGCTGACACTGACCTGGGATCTACTCCCTGTTAATAAGAAAAGGAGGATTTGGGAAGGCCCGGAGCCCAGATGTCGCTGCCCAGCCATCTCTAGGGGTTTTCTGAATGTTACCACCCAATGTGGTGACAGAACTGAAGATGTAGAAACAGCCTACAAGAAAGCAAAGAGCTGGAGGAACTTCATGAGCGATGCTTGCACCGAGCCCTTCCCTCTGGAATGAACCACGGGCCGTGCTGACCCACGCACAGGGGCAGCGGGGTCTGAGGGGCTCACGTGGGAGGCAGGGCTGGAAGTAACCGCTCTCCCTCTCCCCGCACGCCTTCCTCCCTGTCTGCCCCAGCTCTCCCCAGCCCGTGACGCTGTGGTGGGATTCCACCCGTGCCAGACTGGGGAGAGCAAGCCCTATAGCGGGAATGTTTCCTTCCTACACTGAGCACTCCTAAATAACAGCGTGGCATGTCCTGCTGAGCAGAAAATGGGCCGTGGACAGGAGCAGCCTCGGGGACCCTCGCAGAGGGGCACGGACGGGCGGGGAGGGGTCCCCTCGCGTGACTTCTGCACCACAGAGGTGCCGTGGAAACAGGAGGACGTGGAGACATGTACGTCCCATGAGCAGAGAGCAGCATTTACAGGATCTCTTGTTTACTGTCATGTTTTTTTGTGCCTGCCACTTTGGAAGTTAATCCTTAATTCTGTGGAAGTTTATTTACTCAGCGTTGTTATTTCCCATGAGAAGCTAAAGCTCTAATATTAGAGTTACTACCAGAGATCAATTGGGATTACATGGAAGAGAATCACCTTGCCAGGTCCCGGATGAGCGTCAGAGCTATTCCTTGGCCACCGCAGCATCTCTGCATCCGCCGCCTGCCTGACCCTCCCGTTCTGAGGAAGGGCTGGCAGAGAGCTCTGCTTCTCCTGGTCCCCCGCAGGGACGTGGGGTCTGCAGGGCTGACGATGCTGCGGGGACAGCCCAAACAGCTCTGCTGGGTGTCGATGGTCAAGATCGCCCCGGCTGTACCTTCGGGAACACTGATTCTGTAGAAGGCAGGGCGATGCCACCACTTCCAGGACAGCGTAGGGGCAGAGTTTGCCCCTGAGTGCAGGAAAAAATCTCTTTCGGTGCGGGGGCAACTAGAAGTCAGCACAGAGCACATTTGCGTGTGATCTCCCATTTTTTAAAGGGGTGAGCAGCAAAGTGCTTGGAGGCTCGTCAGCACGTGCCTGGGGATTTTTTCAGTGGCTGACTTGCCATGCGGCGAACGGATCTGCCCCCGCCGGTGCAATTTCTCAGGGCACGGTAACTAGCCAAGCACACCAGAGCTTTGACCGGGGCACCTTCCCGCCCCGCTGCCGGTGTGCGGCTGAGGCCGCCCCGTTTGCACTT